GGCTGAGTACTGTTTGGAGGCTCGAGGGATCTCAGAAAAGTAGAATATAAGGGCTCTGCCCTCCAGGGACTTAGAGGGTGATAACAGCAGCTTCCCACTCTGCTAGCCTTGACCAGTGTGTCTGCCACCGTCTGTCATTGTACCTCACTTAGCCTGCATTATGCCACCATCTCTGAGCTGGGTGATGGTTCTCTCCATTTTGTAGAAGAAGACCCTGAGGCTCAGAGAGGGAAATGACATGCTCAAGTCTGGGGATGACGTGGCAGAGTCAGAAATGCATTGCAGGTCTTTGGACCCCTACGTCCAGGGGTACAATTCGAGGTGTCAAGAGGCAGCCTGGCCAGATGGCCTCCAACCGGACATCCTAGGAGTCTGGAATGCTCCCGGCACCTCCTCTTCACCTCTGGTCCGTGACGGCATCCTGCCAGCCCTACCCCGAGATGGATGTCCCAGCATGTCCTCTCTCCCCATCTCTGACAGAATCCCCCATCCATCGCCACCGGCTCTCACCTCCACAACCGAACTAGCCCCTCGCTGGCCCACACTTGCCTCCTTCCATGCTATCCTTCCCAGAGCCACCAGATGATCTTATAAACACAAACCAGGTCCTGTTCACCACCCTCCTGGAAAGTAGTAGGCAAAACCCAAACCTCCTATACCCAGGCTGACATGTGCTGCGTGACACTGGGATGGGAAATCACCCCGGTGGGGACAAAGGAGGCCAGGAGAGCCCTCCCCTCAGATGGTGGGACTATGGAGGAGGAGGGGAGCAAGAGACGCGGATGGGAAGGGTCCCACACTGTGGCCAGCCGTGGGAAGCGCGGCCTGAGAGCCCACGCGGTCCTTGCAGGCCGGAAATCTCCCGCGGCCTCCCCGCAGACATCCTCTGGGGGACTCCTCCCTCCCCAGTGTGTTCACACCCCACGGCCTGTGTATATACTCTTCCTTCCAGCACTTTCATGGCTGCATCCTCATCATTCAGTCCTAACTCACTGGATACCTAAGAGAACAGTCCCAGACCAAACTTCCCTCTCTGAGGCCCAGTCTCCAGCGTCCCCCATTTTATCTGTCTCCAAGCGCTTTCTACTCCCCGAGCAGTTTGCTTCTCCCATGGTCCCTGTCCAGAGTGCAAGCTCCTCGCAGGCAGGGACTTCGTTCACTGCTGTGTCCCTTAGGGGTGAAAACTGTAGTCGGCGCATACTAGCTGCTCCAAAAATGTCTGCTGACGGCCTGACTTTCGAGGGCAAATTTGATGGGGTGAATGATCAAACACCCCTCCGAAAGCCTGGCATGTCCCCAGAGTGATGCTGACGAGGCCACCCTCACGAATGTGAACCCAGGGAGCCACGTCCAGTCCCCAGCAAGTGTGTGCAGCAGGCCACGTGCAACCAGGCCAGGGTGCGATGCACGGCGGTACCTGGGGACGGGCAAGGTGGATCGCAAACCTGACCCACCCAATTAGAAGGCCTTCACTGAGAAGGCCTCCAGGAGTCAGCATGAGCTTCTGACCAGTGACTGCATGGACAGAGAGGAGACCCTGAAGCTGGCCCGGGAGCCATCTCGCCCTGCAGAGCCAGACTCGCCTACCGAGCGCTGCTGTCAGTATCCATCAAAACAAAGGCCAGTATCCAGGATGTGGCTAAACTCAGGAATGTGGAATAATAGGAAATGTCTGCAGCTGCTGCAGTGGGAGCCAGACAATACGCGCGAAGAAAGAAGGGAAGAAAGATTTTGCGGCGATTCCACAGTCAACTAAACCCATCTGCGTTCTTCCTCTCTGTCCAGGTTGGGAAGGTGGGCCGGCTCTGGCCTAACTATAAAATGTGTGTGTTGTTTTTTATCAGGACAAGGGGGAAAAAATCAAACTTATTTTTAGAAATGAATAGGCTTTTGTGTCTGTGGCCTTGGATCATGTGTTTGCCAAGAGACTTTCTGGAGTGAAAAAAAAAAGGCTCTAGAGTCAAATCTGCCACTGGGCGCCTCATGCCAAGTACATGTCTCTTGACATCTCTGGAGGCTCAGTCTTTTCACCTGAAAAATGGGGTGATAGCATCTGCACCCTGCACCTCACAGGGTTGTGCATAGGACCGAATGAGAACTACCACGGAGTCCTTTAGAAAGTCACTGGCTCAGCCCTCGGCCCTCGAGCACCACTGGGAGCAGGAAGGACCGGTTACCTCTAGGAAGGAAAACCCGGGCACACGGCCAGCTTCCCAGGCAGAACCTTTACATTGCTTTCAGAGGGGACACCTCACCCTCAAACTCCTTGATTCCACCCCAAGCCTCAAGCTGGAAGGCATGCACACAGCTGCCTATAAAACACACCTTTCGCGTTTCCAAGCGAGTCCCCAGGGTGCCATGCAGGTGAGTCTGCTTTGAAGAGAAACAGCCCTGAGGATAAACTCAACCTCCAGCCAGGGACAGAGCAGGGTGGCTGGTCCAGCGGGTTCTCAATGTGCCCCTCCTCTTCCGTGGCCCCAGCCACTCCTCACTTTACCTGTGTGCCCTCTGGAGACTCTTCGGGCCAAACCCCCTTCATGAACAGCAGTCCTGGCCCCTCATCTGAGTTGGGTTGGGTATGTGGCCACCCCCCTCAACAGAACATGTTTCGCAGAGGCTGGAAGGGCCCGCACCCCCGCACAATTTTAGTGACCCCCAAAGCGATGCAGCTGGCTGGCTTCCCGGAGCCGTCTGCCAGGTGGACACGCATCCACCCAACCAGAGCCGAGTTCGGAGGTGAAGAGCCCTCGATCCGCTTGGCTTAGCTGTGTTTGCCCGGTCACAGGGGCTGAAGAGGTGGATAGAGAGTGAGTCTCTCCAGCTCTCACTTCCTCCTTGGCTTGAATATTTTAGTTTCAAATGTAGGCTCCCGCCACCCCGCTTCCTGCCCTGTTTTTCTGAGATCGAGTTGCTCCTATTAGGGAAACCCCAGTGTGCCTCGACTTGTCAACTCTGCATATGCTATTCCTGACCAGCATCCAAACACCCCTCCCTGTCACCAGCCTCCGGCGGGTAACTCCACCAGGGACAAGCCTAGTGCCTTAGCCTGCGGGAACGGGGTTGGGAGTGCTCCCTGTCCACAACCTTCCCGCCCCTGGCCTGACCCTTGTTTGTGAATCTGACTAGCCAGAGGCTCTGGGCTGGAAGGAGGTGACAGGACAGACTCGTGACCAGGCAGGTAGGGCTGCTATCAATAGATCAGTCACCTTGTTTGCAGGGCCCAGGGCACAGTGGACGCCGGGGGCCCTTGCTCAGCCCTGCCCTCCATCGTGGTCAGTGCTTCTGAGCGGCCCCGAGGGCCTGCAGGGCCAGGTGCCCGCACTGCCGGCCCTGCCTGTCACGATGCCTCCCACGTGCGCGGACCTGCTCTGAGAACCTCGGGGCATCTTCTGAGCATCCCGTGTGTCCCAGCGCTACGTGAGCGGACGAGCTTGTAACCTGGGCGCGTTTCACCTGCTACCAGGGATGACAGCTCTGCCATCGCAGCCCAGGCTGCCAAGGACGAGCCCAGGGCATGTCCTCCCCTCCTGGGGTTTGTTCCCCCTGTTGTAGAGTGTGTGGGTGGACTTCGTGCCACCCTATCCTGACCGTCTGTGGGTACTTGGGGGAATATAGTGAATTTTTAGCTTTTTCTTTACAGGATACCGAAAACCTACCATGGTAGTAGACGCCCCCTGATAACATCACACGGACAGCCTGGGTTTCTTCCTCACAGGAACGACCTGCTCCCTGTAGCCAGGGCAGCCAGAGAGCTGTGGGAGGAGGAAGACGCCGGCTGGCAGTTCCCTTTGTGCTCCCTTCTCGGCCAGAGCTGGAGGCCCAGTTCCCGTGCCCACCCCCAGCTCCACCCGGGCCGCTCTCGGGCTGCCAAGGGAGCCCCGCACTCCCCACCTCCTAGTGTCTGACTGACTGTTAGTGTGAGCGACTTCCCACAAAGATAAAAGACGCATCGGCCCCGTGTCCACACTTCGCCTCAGTGACCACTCTTTGGGAACTTCTGGGCAGATAAAGCAGCACCTGGCCTTTGCCTCCGATGTGTCCCTGTCCTCTGACAGGAGCTGCCAGGTAGCCTTCCCAGTCCTGCGGGGATTCCAGGGGGCCTCGGAAACTGCTGGAAGCCAAGGAGCCAGCCACTGTGGTTTCCGGTTGCCCACCTGGCACAGGTGGAGGCGGAGGCTGGGATGGGGCAGGTGCCCGCCAAGGAGGGAGAAGGGACATGGGATTCACCTGAGGCCCCGACACGGCGGTCCTGCAGCACAGGCCTGTGGAGACCCCAGAACAGGATGGCAGGACCATTTTCTGAAGAGGCCAGAAGGCCACTGTTCGGCCCACTCCCGATGACAACTGCTCACGAGGGGCCCTTAGTTACGAAACCAAGTCCTGAGGGTCCCACTTCTGCTTTGGGTTCCTCATTTGACTAAGAAGAGTTTTGTCAGCAGGAAACGTTTCCAAGCTCCTCGGGAGTCGCCATGTAGAGCTCATGACCCATGCGCCAAGTGAAGTCTTCCTTTAGGGGCACTGCGAGACGACCCCACCTTCTTTCTCTGTGAAAGGGAAACGTCTCCCCAGAAAGGGCCGGGCCTTTGGGAAACGCGGTTCAGAAAGCCAAGCCAGGGCATGATTCTGGGGGGCTGGGGCCTCCTCCCAGGACTCGGGAGACCCCCACCCATTGCCAGGCCGAGAGAGGAGGCAGGAGGGTCCTAAGGATCCAGGGCTGGGGCAGCGCGTCGGAGCCTGCAGCTCCCTTCCCGGATGCCAGGGCCCGTGGAAAGCGAGCCAAGTGTGACAGTCCCCACAGGTGGCTAGTGGCTGGCGGTGGGGTCGGCCTGGGGGCCCAGGAGGTCGGGCTCTTTGGACCTCCAGAGAGTTCAGTCGCCCGGGGCCAGGGAGGGAGGCGCTGCCCGCGGGCCGGGCGGGGCGGGCCGGGGTCACCCGGGCGGGGCGGGCGTGGGAGGGGGTCGGCCCCGCCCCAGGGGAGTGTCCCGGCCCGGCTGCCGCCTTAAGGGCCGCCGGTGCGGGGCGAGGCCGGAGTGGGTTCGGCTTGGCGCGGGATCTCGGATCCGGAGCGGCATCCGGAGCGGCCTCTGGCGCCCTGTCTGGGATCCGGGGCGGGATCCGGAGCGGGATCCGGAGCGGGAGCCATGGCGTCGTCCAGGCCTGCGGGGCCGCTGCTGCTGCTCGTGCTGCTGGCGGGCGCGGCGCAGGCCGGCCTCTACTTCCGTCCGGGCCAGACCTGCTACCGGCCCCTGCGGGGGGACCAGCTGGCGCAGCTGGGGCGCAGGTGGGCGCCCGCGGGGTCGGGAGGCCGTTGGGGGAGGGGAGGGAGGGATGGCCGCGTCCCAGGGCCTGGAGGCGCTGGCCTGCCTTTTGGGGATCCTGCCTCCCTGGGCCTTGGAACGCCAGATCCAGCCCCATCGTTTCGGGGGTCACTCCAATTGCACATCCAGGGGAAGCCCTGGTGTTTTGGGGGTTGGACGAGCCCCACCTGTCCAGAAAGCCAGGCCTGCCTCACCCCTGTGGCCTTTGGGGCTTGTCCCCAGCCTTGGCCTCGCTCACTCGTCGTCCTTCCTTGCCATGCGGAGAGTGCTGGGGCCCCCACCCCCTCTCACATCTCACACCTGGTGGCTGCAGGGCTCTTGCCCACCCCCTCACTCTTTGGGAAAGGGAGGGGGGCTCAAGAGGGCTGCCTGTGCCCTGGCCCCTGTGGGAGGGGGGTTCTGGTTGCCCCAGGGGCCCCAGCGCTGATTTTGGTGGTGTTGGTCTCTTCCCAGGACATACCCACGGCCTTATGAGTACCTGTCCCCATCGGATCTGCCCAAGAGCTGGGACTGGCGCAATGTGAATGGTGTCAACTACGCCAGCATCACCAGGAACCAGCACATCCCTCGGTACTGCGGCTCCTGCTGGGCCCACGGCAGCACCAGCGCCATGGCAGGTTGGTGGCTGCCCCTGGACCCTGGGCCAGGAGAGCCGGTCCAGGCTGCTTCCAACTCAGCACAGGCAGCCACAGCCCAGGGTTCCAGGAGCCTGTGACTCTGTGCCAGCGGTCAGCCTGGGCTGGGTGGTGCCTGCGCCTCTCTGGCCCAGGGGAGCTGGCCTTCACCCTTTGCCGAAGAGACGCAAGCTGGGTCATTCGGGGGCTCCCCGGCGGGCCACCCAGGGCCTTTGGGTGACTGAAGCCAGTATTTCCCACGGGCCCTCTCCCCCCAAAGCTTGTGACCTCAGCCATTGGGACAGAACCAGAAATGCAAAATCACCGAGCCCCCAGCCCGTACTGGGGACATGGAAGTGAAACTGCTTCTCAGCAGCAGTATTTGAGATGAAAGCCTGTCCTGGGCGTGGAGTATTGAGCGAGGCTGGCGGGCTGCAGCCATGGCCCCACCCTGTCACTGCCCCAAGCTGGCACTCTTCTCATCTGGACCTTAGCCTCTGGCTGCAGGCCGGCAGGAAGGCTCACGGGAAGGAGGGAGGGGAGGCTCACGTGGAGGCTGCTGCGCCCTGCCTTGGGAAGGGAGGCTGCCTCCCAGCCCCAGGCCTGCCCCTCAGCATTTGGGAAGGACCCTGCCCTCTCCAATAACAGCCCTGGTCTCCAGGAGCCTGGACTTCCACTGGAGAAGGGACTCAGTCTGGCTGGAGTTTGGTTCGGGAGTGCTGGGTGCTGTTGCCTCCTGTCCTGGCCTTGGTACCTCACAGGTCAGGCCTGTTGTGTAGGGTCTGTGCTGAGAGGATTAACACAATGTGGCCGCTGCTGCCTGCCACGGCGCAGTGGCACGCACTTGTGTCATCGTCTCATTTAGACCTCCTAGTTGCCGTGAGTGCTTTTAACTTGTAGATGAGGAAACCGAGGCTCTTTGCAGGGAGGTTGGAAGACTTGGCCCTGGTGTGACAGCTGGGATTCGAGCCCAGAAGCCTGGCTTTGGGCCAGGACCTTTGCTGGCCTCTGTGTTTTGGGTGAGGGGTTCCTGCTTGGGGTGGGGTCTGGACCCCGGAGCTGGCCGGCTGTAGCTGTTGCCTGGCCCTGTTTCTCTTGGGGGCCTGGTTGGGGGCCGAGCGTACTTCTGACTGGGGTGGCGATGGAGCTGGGGCCTCTCCCACGGGAAGGTCTGGGAGACCTTGGCAAGGCGGGCGGCGTGGGCGGGCGAGGCAGAGGCTGGAGCAAGGTCGGGGGGAGCGCAGGATGGCGCCCACTGAGGAAGTGAAAGCCTTTGAGGCCCAGCCTTGGGTGGGGTGAGGGTGAGCAGAGAACTGGAAAGGGAAGCCTTGAATTATCTTTGAGAGGGAGTCAGGTGACAAGATTTGCATCTGTGAAGGACTTCAGGGTAGGGAGGAAGTGGCCAAAGGTGGCTTGGCAGCTGTCTGATGAGTGCTGGGCACTGGCCAGGGGTCAACCTCCCACAGTTTGAGAGTGGACTGTCCCTCTGGGCTAGGGTACTGCTCCCTCCTCCTCCATAAACCTCCAACATCTCTGGCAGCAGCCAAGGCCCCTGCTTCCTCTTTCACTGAGAAAATAGAAGCCACCAGAAGGGGACTTCCATGGGGGCCTTCCCCCTCTGCCAGCTAATGCAGCTGCGCCATAGCGTGCCTTCCCTCCTGTCCCTGGGAGTCGAGCGTCCCAGCCCTTCACTGAGGCTGCCCCTCCCTGTGCACAGGAGACCGCCCCTCACCCACTCGGAAGCGCCCCTCCTCGAACAAATGAGCAAAAAGCCCCTGACCCCACCCCGCCCCACTTCTCAGCTCCGCAGGAGATAGCTGGGGCCCCTCTTCTCTGTCCTTGCACCCTTAGCCTCAACCCCACCACTCTCCATCTCTGAGGTGTCGCCGTTGGGGCAGGGTAGGGGCCTTCCCCAGGCCCCACCATCCTTGACTATGCTTGAAACGCCGCCCTCACCTGCACTTGGAAACGCCCTCCCCGCCCCCACGCCTGGCGTTCCTTCCTGTCCTCTCCTCCATTCCCCTGAACTCACCTTCACACCCTCCTGCCCACACACCTCGCTCAGACACCTGACGCCTCCAGCCTCTGGCCTTCAGGTCCAAACAGCTCCTCCTTCCTAGCTGTCACTGCAGGCCCGTTTGGGTTACTCAGAGGCCCAGAGGTGCACCTGGCTCCTACTCCCCATCCTCATACAACTCATCGACAAGTCTTGGCAGTTCTACCTTGAAAATACGTGCAGAACTCACCTGCTCCCGCCACCTGTCACCTGGCCTCACTGTCCAGCTTCCTGTCTGGTCTCCCTTCGCTAGAATGAGCCTGTTAAAGCCCGGGTCAGATCACGCTGTTCTTCACCTAGGAACCCTCGTGGGATAAAAGGCCAATGTTCCTGTGACCTACGGAGCCTACGTGGTCCAGGCCCTGTGCCTCCTGTGCTCCCTGTTCACCTGGAGGGTGAAGCAGGAGGTACCTTCTCCTGCCAGGTACCCCTCTCTCCTCCCTCCTCCTGCAGGCATCACCACCCACCTCCATGGGGTCCCCCTCAGCCACCCTATGTAAAGATACCCTGAATTCCTTCCCCGTTTGATTTTTCTTCATTGCACTGTATGCTGTGCACATTGACAGATGCTCCTCGACTTACAAATAGGGCTGTCGGACAAACCCACCATAGTTGAAAATATCGCAAGTTGAAATGTATTTCATACACTTGAGCTTAGCCTAGCCTACCTTAAACATGCTCAGAACACAGGTTAGCCTACAGTTGGGCAAAATTATCTAACATGAAGCCTATTTTATAATTAAGTATTGAATATCTGACAATTTACCAAATACTGTACTGAAAGTGAAAAACAGAATGGTTGTGTGGGTACTCAAAGTATGATTTCTACCCAATTCTTGCGGCTTTAGCACCCAGCCGGGCAGAGGTCGGGCAGTAGAGGATGGAGAGTTGACCGTTAGCGGAGAGGAAGGGGTGAAAGCCTGCTAGGAGAGTGTGGGCTGAAGGGACAGCGGGAGCAGGGATTATCTCAAATGGTAGTTGAATGAGGCAGAGACAGTGGCTGTTTTAAGAAAGGCAGGTCTGGTTGGGTGTGGTGGTTCACGCCGGTAATCCCAGCACTTTGGGAGGCTGAAGCAGGAGGATCACTTGAGGCCAGGAGTTTGAGACCAGCCTGGGGAACATAGCGAGACCTTGTCTCTACAAAACAATTTTAAAAATTAGCCAGATGTGGTGGCTCGCACATGTAGTCCCAGCTACTTGGGAGGCTGAAGCAGGAGGATCACTTGAGACCAGGGGTTTGAGGCTGCAGTGAGCTGTGATCAGCCCACTGCACTCCAGCCTGGGCGACAGAGTGAGACCCTGTCTCAAAAAGAAAAAAAAAGGCCGCGCTGTGATGGAGGAGGAGATCCGGAAGGAGCCAGGTCCTCAGCAAGGAAACAGGAATCTGGGCTTCGCGCACCTTCGGTGGATGCGGACAGGCCACTGCTATCACAGGAGCATGTTCTCGGGTGTGGAGCATTCACAGGCCTGGTGGTAGCAGGCTGGGCTCTGCTCTGGGTTTTGCAGTGCCATGTGAAGCAAGGTCATCAGATGGGGGTGAGTTCCAGAAGGCACCTGGGCAAGGAGGGGAGGGCTGGACAGAGGAGTAGACTGGAGTATGGGAGCATCTGGAAGGTGACACCAGGGCAGGGCAGGCCGAAGGGTGCACGCTGTGGGGTGCTAACCCAGGGGACGGGCAGGTGTGGCCGGGGCAAGGCAGGAGTTCTGGCGGGCAAGAGGGAGCAGACGTGGAGGCAGTGGCAGTAGCCCGGGTGTATATCTGTCGTGAAAAAGTGGAGCGAGATGACTCTGAAATGGGGTAGGAGTGGCCAGTGGGGCCCAGGTCCCCTTCTGGGATTCTGCTTATTCTCTTGTGCATGGGGAGGGGAGCATGGTGGGCGCCAGGTGGGAGCTGTGGCAGTCCTTGGCTGCACTTGTTTGCACAGCTGCCCCGCTGGGGCCCCCTCTCCGTGGGGGCAGGAACTGTGTCTCTCCTGGCTCTTTGGTGGGCACAGGTGGCGGAGTGTCTTTCAGCCCTTCAGCAGACGCTTCTTGGGCATCTGCAGGGCTGGATGGTGCTGACAGCACTGCCCTGGCTCTGCCTCATGGCGTTTTGGTTGTTTGGGCAGACAGGACAGTGCCCACGGAGGGCCAGGGAAGGCCTTTCTGGAGAGCAGGGGCTGAGCTGAGACCTCCAAGCAGAGGTCAGCGCGGGGGAGGGCCCTCCGGAGAGGGACACAGGCAGCCTGACACAAGCGTCCAGTCCTGTTCGGGGGAGCCGGTCGGGGGCAGTGTGCCGCCCGGGGCGGACGCGCGCTGACGGTGGTGCTGACTGTTGCAGATCGGATCAACATCAAGAGGAAGGGTGCGTGGCCCTCCACCCTGCTGTCAGTGCAGCACGTCCTCGACTGTGGACATGCCGGCTCCTGCGAGGGCGGCAACGACCTGCCGGTGTGGGAGTACGCCCACTGGCACGGCATCCCCGACGAGACCTGCAACAACTACCAGGCCAAGGACCAGGGTAGGCCTCGGCCCAGGCCCCCAGCCCTCCGCCCTCCACTCCCTCTTCCTAGAGAAAGTGCGGCCGTGAGCCCAGGCCGGGGTCCCCAGGGAGGGCTGGTGCCCCTGAGCGTTAGGGGCCGTGTCCCCAGGCCGGCCTCCCTGCAGAAGCCCCCTCTGCCACTCTGACCCCGTGGGGCTGGGGCGGAGCTGGAGCCCCTCCGTGTCAAGAAGACTGTCAAAATGGCCTGGCCTGGGAGGGTTCTGACGGGCGTGCCCCGCTCCTGTGTGTGCCCCTGTGTGGGAGGGCCCCTGCAGAGAGGCCTGGATGTGATGTTTGGGTTCTGATATGTTGGCATTTTGGGGGTTTTATGAGCCTGTGTGGGGGAGAGGTGCAGGCGGGCCTTGTGGAGGGAAGAGTCAGTTTTCCAGGAGCGCTGGTGGAGAGAGCAGGTGGGGAGGCCGCCGCCCCAAACTAGAAGCCAGCAGGCCCAGCTGGAAGGCAGCATGGGCCTGGTTCCTGCCCTCGCGACCCCGGACTGGGGCCACGTGCATTCCAGTGTGGCTGGAGCCAAGAGGGTGCTATGTGGACCAGCAGACTCAAGCTGGCCTGGGGTCCCCATGGTTGGCACATTCCCTTTAGGCTGTTCCCCTTGGAAACCAAAGGAAAGAAAAGTCAAGACCCCAAACCCATAATTGGCAGTTTCAAGCCACCTGACTCTCCGATCTCCCTCATAGCCAGAGCAGAGACCCGGGAAAACTCAAAAAGCGATTTGAGACGGTGGGGGGCGAGAATGGGAGAGAGCCCAGTGCTTTGCCGCCCCCACTCTTGCCCCAAGTCTAGAAGGGTCGACTCCGGTGCCTGTGTGCTCTGACGCAGCGCAGGGTACTCTAGGCACCACCTCATGCAGACAGGGGTCCCTTGCCTTGCCCCTGGGCCTTATTGTCCAGCCAGAAAGAATTTTCCTGGACTCGTGGTGAGTCCTTAGTTGAAGTGGCAAACCCAGCGTGGGTCAGAGGCCCAGAACGGGGACAGACGACAGGGAGGAGGGGAAGCCAGTCTGCTCTGGAATCACAAATTAGGCATCAGGTGGTCCCTGGGGCCTCCCCGCCCCTCCACCCCAGACTGGTCTCATCCAGCCAAGGCCACGCCTCTGAGCCCACCTGTACCTGAAGGCCAGTGCAGCCCATCAGAAACCTGATTGTTTGCAACGGTCTTGCCTTTGTAGTATGAGCAGAGGTGGCCACAGAGCCATCATCTTCCTGTTGTACTGGACACTGGGCCTTTGTGTCCAAGGAGACAAGTAAGCCAACAATTTAATCTTCAAGGACTTTACTGTCCTGGGGGAAGAATCTGGATGTCTGTGTAACTGTAACAAAAATAGGTGACACCAAAGCAGTAAAAAGGCAGGCCGAGGGTGGGCCGGAGGGATGGGGTGTCTATAAAGTGAGAACACAGTGATTTCGAGTCTTGCGGAACTAAGAGCTGCACTTTTTCTCTAAGCCTAATTCCTGATACTTCTCCAACCAAAAACAAGAAAATGCTTTTTCTCTAACTAGATGTATCGGGCTGTTTATTCACTAACCAGCAATAGAATCATCTTGATTGCGCTTAATAATAATTTGATTGCACTCAATTTTCAGCTATCAAGTATTACGAAAAGGTCCTGTCCCAACCTTTAAAGGAAGAGAAAAAAAGGCTAACCTTTGAGTGCCTACTAGGTGCTAATGTTTGTCTTCTTTCTTTTCTGCCAAGGCCCGGGGGAGGGCTCTTTATAACTCCTTTGCAGCCGAAAGAAGGGCATAATTAAACAGCACCTAGAGCAAGATGACTTGTTATTAGCTAATGAATGGTGGGCTACATTAGAAAAGTGGAGAGTGGATTTGGGTAGCTTCTTTGTTAGTGGACTAACGAGGAGACAGTCTCATGCTGACTTTCCTTGGTCTCCCCTAGAGTGTGACAAGTTTAACCAATGTGGGACATGCACTGAATTCAAAGAGTGCCACGCCATCCGGAACTACACCCTCTGGAGAGTGGGCGACTACGGCTCCCTGTCCGGGAGGGAGAAGATGATGGCGGAAATCTATGCCAACGGCCCCATCAGGTGAGGGGAGGCCCCATCAGGTGAGGGGAGGCCCCGTCAGGTGAGAAGCCCCACCAGGTGAGACCTGGCTGCTGCGTGCATGCGGGCGCACGTGTAGCTTCACCCGTCCTTCTGGCCAGTTTTAGCCACTGCGCTTGCGACACAGCTGCCACGATTTCACCTGTAAGAACTTCATTTTTCTCGGAAGCAAAACCAGTAACTGATAACTAATCTGGCCCTTCCTGGGGTTAGCGGGTGAAACGCAGATGGAAAGCTCCCCAAGCTGTAGTGAGTGCCGTGATGTTGGGCTGTTTCAGCAGGGAAGACGCTGCGTGAATAACAATTTTTCCAGAATCGTCTGATATGCATTATCTCAGTTGGATTTACACATGGTAATATCAGACTATTTGTAATGATGGTAGATTCTTTCAGTTCAGTTTAGAGCAGTAATTGGTTCTTTAACTGCCTGCCTGCAGCTGCGGTATAATGGCAACAGAAAGGATGGCTAACTACACAGGGGGCGTCTATGCCGAATACCACGACGACGCCTACATAAACCATATCATCTCCGTGGTCGGGTGGGGTGTCAGCGATGGGACTGAGTACTGGATTGTCCGGAATTCATGGGGTGAACCATGGGTAAGATGTTTTCACTTTCTCAAGGTCATACGTAGGAAAAGAATTCATATTCCTCTCACTTGAATGGTTCTGTTGACTTTTAGCTAAAAACATGAGGCCTTCAGCAGAGGGTTTTCTTGCTGCAGCCCAGACTCTCAGGCGTCGCACGAGTGGCTTTTGGCGCTAGATCCTTCTTGGTTGTGTGGGAGCTGCTGCTGTTCTGTGCACTGTAGGGTGGTCAGCAGCAACCCTGGCCTTCCGCCCCCAGGTGCCCGCCCAGCACCCCCATGTAACCAACTACGACTCTGAGCACAGCCAAGGGCACCCCGGGGCAACTGCCGGCGAGCAGCACTGCTGGCGGGTGCGGTCTCACTACCTTCTTCCTTTACGACCATTGCATTCTCTCTCCTGCCACGGTTTTCAACTCCCTAGGTAAAACCATGTAGGTTTTTCAAAAACACTTGTGAGTCGGGTTAAGACTCCACTGCCAGGGCTCTAATTTTTAAGACCTAGTATTAGCCACTAATAGTTTTAGATATAGAAATTCACGATTACGAAATGGGGGACAGTGGTTTACATGGAAGTGATGAAATGTCAATTCTCTTAATTAAATGACTACAAATGGGGCTGTTACTAGGCAGATGAGTCATTAGGTCTAAAGAGTCAACATCTTTTGTTAGACACTTCCAAGTAGGGGTGGTCGGAAGGGTACAGGGGTGGCGGACTAGGCCGTCTGGACCCTGCAAGTCCTCCAAGGCTGGGCTGAGGGACAGAGGCAGACGGCGGGGCCCTGCGTGTCAACAACCATCTCACTTCTCCCCACAGGGCGAGAGAGGATGGATGCGGATAGTGACCAGCACCTACAAGGATGGGAAGGGCGCCAGTTACAACCTTGCTATTGAGGAGTCCTGTACATTTGGGGACCCCATCGTTTAAGGTGATGTCTCTGGAACAGCAGTGTTTTAAGAAGTGGTATCATGAACCCTGACCAGAAGGGCCCTAGGGTTACGGGTACCAGACTGGCGACACTGGATGGCTGGGATGGCTCTGGACACCTGGAAGGGGCACTTGCCAACGTGAGGACAGGCTGATACTAGCTGTGAGAGCATTCCTAAGAGCTGAAATGGGATGGCTTAACCACCTGCACAGCGGTGAGGAAGTGACAAGACAGGAAATCATGGGCCTCAGCCTTACTCAGTGGAGGGCCTGGTATTTGTATTTGGCAACCGTGGCCGATAATACAGCATTTACAAGGAAAAATAGTTCAGACTCATCACCAGTTCTTAAGTCTCTTTGGAATCAGTGGGGGGAAGGGAGGTTGTCCACGTGATGAATAAAGACTTCACACTGGACCGTGCCTGCGCGAGCCTTATTTACACACTGAGCGACACATCAGGACCCACACCCTGCAACCCAGCAGAAAGGCTTTTTAAAAATTTATTATTCTTAGCAAATTAAAATAATTATAATAAAACATCAACTAACTACTTGGATACCTGGGAGAAAACTCAGGTCAACTTTGAAAGTGGTTCACTGGAAATCTCAGTTTCTGAATTCCCACCACCCATGGGCCGCCCGCTGGGTGGGTTCACCCTGAGAGGTAACGGGAATCTAGTTCCTACACTGTAAACAGGATTCAGGGGCAGAACTAGGTTTACAACAAAGAGAAGGGGCTGTTCATATCAGCAGTTTTCCCCTTACACTGCTAAAATTTTCCTTTTGAAAACAGTTACCCGCCTCCTCCCAGCAAAGCCCATTTCGAAGATGCTGACTGATTCTCTTCAACAACAGCTTCTTGAAAGGGTTTTTCCAAAACTGGTCTCCTGGAATGTTCTGCTTCAGCTCTGCAGGATGCTCCAAATTAGTTCACCATGATGAAGTTAGATTTGCAGTGAGCTTTAACAGAGGGAAAACAGCCACTGGGTTAGAAACAGGAGGTAAAAAATGACATTTACTACTGCAGCAGAGGGACATTTACGTCGGCCTTACCTATAAATTCTGTCACGGGGTCATGTTCGCCTTCTGTTTTAATGGTGCCTGCGATGCTGTCGTTTTCCAGGATGGGGAGGAAAAGCTGCACAAAGTCAGAGGTGTACGGAGGGGCAATGACGTCCAGCACCTGTGTGGGCAAGGCAGGGGGTTACTCCTCCCACACAGCCCGACACTCGGGTGAAACGGCAATCAGTTTGGAGAAAATACCACCCCCTGCCCCCCAGCTTCCCTGGAGACGCCACCAGTCTCCAACATAAGACACTCAGGGTGGTACTGCAGGTAAAACGCATAATACAGTCCTGCAGGGAGTTGGTAAGTTGGTATCTGTCATTGTCATCACCAAGATTATCAGAAACACAGTTCTCAGGGTTAGGTACAAAATGAACTAAATTAAGCCAAAAAGGGCAGTGCTAGCGTAAACATGTGAAACATGAAACCAACGGTGCATTGCTGACCTCAGTGACAAAATAGCGAATGAGTGAAATGTCAGTGTCCAGCTTCTCCAGACACTTTCGGATGTAACTGACAACAGGAAGTACATAACCTCGACTCAGAAGGTGAACCATCCTGTCCAGCAGGGTCTTCTTCAACTCAAGCTACGGAAGAGAGAGGAACTGGTTAGAGTGGGGTCTTCCCCAGCCCCCGGTGAACCCCACGGGGCGCCCGCTCACCTGCTCCATCACGTCCAGCTGGGAGTGCTCAGTCTCAAAAAGTTTAACAAGCAGCTGCAGGACCTGGGGGTGCAGGAGCTGGTGGCAGGTGCTGATCTACAACATGCCAAAGGGAGCCTCACTGAGCGGCGTGGTCACTCTCAGGACACAAGGCACCACAGTCACTGTCACAGCCGTCAGAGACAGCTTATTGCCGGTGAGGATGGTCCTGGACGCTTGGCCAGGGCCGGCCAGCTTCTGTGCCACACCCCGTCCTTCCAGTAACACTTGGTAAAAACTGAGAAATCTATGCAGTCAATGAAACAGGAGCCTTCAAAGGAAAATCCTCATTTAGGATTTTTTAGCTATTTTTGAAAAGAGTATCCTCCAGACTCCCTGAACAGATGCAAGCGAAGTAAGTGCCAAAATAAACAGCAGGAGCCAGACCCTTCCGCCCTCTCACCTCATCCAGCAGCGCCAGGTGTACTGGCGTGTGGTCCGTCTGGAGCTGAAAGTACCTTGGTTCTGATACGGTCCAATCTACCCATTTCAGCACACCCATTGCTACCACTGGAAACCTACAGGTAAACAAGGCAGAATGCTTCCCTTAAGAAAATACCAAAATATACTAGAAAAGCATTAAAGGTTTGGCAAGTTAAAAACAAACTCAAACTCCCCCATCAATCTGCCCTGCACTGTGTTCGGCCCGGGGTGGGGGCTTGTTCACGAACACAGTCTGATGAGACTTGCAGGGGAAGGAGCAGAATTCAATGCTCAGCTCACTTTAAACCACTTTCCTGGTTTAAAAGGAAAAGATCATTAATGTGAAACACTCAGTGAGTCTGGTGGACTGGGTTGAAGTTTACCTTTATTTAGCAAACCTCTTCTTCGTCCCTAGTACAAATTAATAGAGGCAAGACTAAAACGCCTAAGAGGACACACTATTCCTAGGACATGTCTATTTAAGTAATTGGCAGAATCACAAATCATTTCTATCTAAGCAATACTTTGTTGGGATAACTTTTACTATAAATAGACCCTTTTCTTAAAATCAATTTGTGTAATTCTGGCTGGTCTTCCTTTACTTAGTCTAATTTGTGAGGATTTACTGAACAGACTTCTGGCAAGTAAACACCTGAAAATTACTCATGCTGCTAAAACTGTTTAAAATTCTCTACATACATTTAAAAAAGAAAAAATAAATAAGGATCTCAGAAGCTTTTGTTATTTGAGCTTCTACTATGAAAACTCAAACCACCTCCTCCCCAAAGGATTGAGTTTAGAAACGTTTCATTCTGCTTACCTAATACACTGGTAAAGTGTGCTCAGTTCTGCCACTAGTTCAGAGGCCCCTTTGTTCTCATTGCAACACAAGTTGTGAACAGTTTCAACAGCTTTTGATGTTGACTTCAGCTCGTCTTTGTTGATGCTCACTCGCTTGTTCTGAAAAGACGCACACAAGTTGCTGAATCCTGACGGAGCACATCTCCCCGCTGTCGGGGTACTCTGGTATCTGCCACTTCTCTCTGCAAATCACTTTCCCTATTTCTGAAGTTGGGAGTTAATTTAATTGTCAAACTTTACAGTCACACAGTGTATAGAAACTGAAAACTAATGAGACTGGTGTTTGTGGCTTATGGAAATTAGTTTCATTTCTTTAGTCACACTTCAAATTACAGTTTGCAGAATATTATAGATGCAAAGCACATTTTCTTGAGACATTTAGCACTTTCGCTACTTTATGCACAAACAATAGAAGAGACATTTCCAACACTAGACAGGCTCAAGATTTCTTATAGCTAAAACTCCCAAATAATACCAAAGAAGAGGAGGATACCTGTCTCCTAAAAGTCCACAAATTCTTAGAACTGATAGTACCTTACCTTCTTCCAGGTCTCAACCACACTTGCCGCATAAGCCAAGATGTGGATATATTTGTGCTTGTGGTCCTGGTTGATCCTGGCCCCTGGCTTAAAGAGCGACTGCATGAACAGGTCTAAGAAGGCCGGCACCCGGATCTGCGGAGACACACATGGCCAGGAGCAGGATGGCAGTAGCTGCGCATGCTCACTCACACCCACCCCTGCAGGGCTCTCTAACATGTTCCAAGGCTGAGTGTGGTGAGGAAGGACCAGGAAAAGGAATGGAAGCATTTCAACAGGAATTTGCATTCACCAACTTAAGAGAATTGCTTCAACACAGACTTTCCAAAGCAACCCAGCCGGTCAGCACTGAGGGTATCCCATCTTATTAAGATGAGAAAAACTTACCAGTTCCACAGGAGGAGGGTCCATGCTTGTGAACATCTTGAACAGGACGGTGATGTCAGCAGGGTTCAGAGCTCCTTTGGACAACATGGCCCCAAGGGCCTGGCAGGCCCGGGGGTAGGAAGCGGCTGTGCCTAAGGCTAGTGTGATCTGACTGGCATCGTGGCCTCTGGATGGGAAAAACCACATATCCCATTATTAACAAGGCAGCTTTTTCTTCTTTCTTTTTTTTATTTACATTTAATGTTTGGGACTGTTGAGATCCCTTTGTTTTTCCGTATTTCTGTCACTCACTGGTATACTGACTGACCCACGAAAACAACATTTAGAGCAAACTGGAATGAATGATTCAAATACAGCTTGCTGAATCTATAGAAGGAATCACATACTTTTTAAATGCCTTATTAAGACTCTATTAGTAGTAGAAAATAAAGCTATTAGGAGCTCATTTTTTTCTGTAAGATATGGACTACAATGCAACAATTAGATCACCGAACAGCTATTTCAGGACTTCTATCATTTGCCACTGATGAACCCAACTTGAGTACAGGTCCATAATCCAGTGGACTGGAGAGTAATCAAGTACTTCACAAAACAGGCATCAAAGCAACACTGTAGAAAGCAAGCTCTCCGCATGTGCTTAAAACTATTCGGACTTTACTGGATGAAAGGAAGTTTTCCTATGTGTCAAAATGGAAGGAGTCAGAAGCTTTGGCTGTGGAAGAAGGGCCACAGGAAGGGTTTTGAGGGGAGCACTACGGGGGACGGGGGGGGCAAGAACAGGGCCTCTCACTTCTCCTGGGCAAAGCGCTGCACTTCCTGAGCGATCCTGCGCACAGCAGAGCCCCCTTGCTCCTCCTGGGCCAGCACGGACATCATGGCCTGGGCAAACAGGTACGTGTGCTCCCCGTGACACACCATCTTCTGCAAGATCGCAGGGAAAGAGGGCTGGTGTTCACTACTGCAGCACTGACAAGTGGACAAGAGCCAAACTTCAACAGTTCTCAGGCATGGAAGTTATCCTGGAAGGTACCCTCTGAAATGCAGAGACTCTAAAGAGAAGGAGCATTTCGTGCTTGAAAACGCAAGACCTACACAGCCTCCGTCTAATCTGAGATTCATAAAGTGAAGCACTTAC